CGCTGGGAACCATTAATCTAAACTAGAGCGACCATTCTCAAAGACTGCTCGTTTCTATTCGTGCCCAGCGGGGAATAATATAAAAATGTTCTTGTCACTGCTCTTTGCTTGTCTGTCTCTAATGAGATAATGACGTAGATGTTCTTATGGTTTTTGTTGATGTTTAGGGGCATCAATAACGATTGTTATATCTTATCTAAGACAATATAACGTTATTATATAAGTTTATTGTTATAGGCATATCGCTTTCCATTGGGCAGAAATAAATTGCATCGTGGTGTGGTAGTGAGTCATCATCATCATCACGTTGATTTCCCACTCACGCTGAGCCTTCGTTGCTAAATAATTTTCCATCCACCTCGAATATTAACAAAATATTAAGATTTACTGTGTCAAAATGTAGACTATCTGACTGATTAATAATCACATTTTTGGAATCTATTTTATAATTGCATGATTATTCGTATCGTATATATTTACTCGTCGTCTGGCATAGTTAAAATTTGAATAAGACTGTTAATCCTTGGTCTTGGATGCAAGGCCTAAGCGGGTCGTCGTGTCTGTGTTTGATTATCGGGTGTAGGGGGGAAATAACAGCTGTTCCAGTGACTACGAGATCTATAACCCAAATCGAATTTCTCTTGCCAGTCTTCGGAAGAGCTGGAAAGTCAGGAAAAAAATGTTTAGTTACTGGTCAATACTGAAGCTATTGGATTATGTTTGCTTTTTATGCTCACAGGAGCATCTCATTTGACGTGGTCACGGTTTCACTGATGGACTGCTAATTATTCCTGAACACTTTATTTACCCACAAGTCAACAATTCGTTGAGTTAGTCTGGGATTTAGAGTTCATGTTTTTTGGTTGAAGACTGCAGTAAGGAATATAATTGCAGAGGTCTTGCTTCAGTCGTCCCTGCCCCCTAATCGGTTTGGACATGCTGTGGGTCCGGGTTTGGTCGTTGCACATCACCTCACTGCACCGCAGAGCCGAAAAGATTGACACAACGCGGTCCTGGAGCACCACACGCCTATTGTCCACACTGCGAAAATAAAGACATTCTCTTGAAAGCAAAGCAAGACACATGCTTCATTGCAGTCATATTTAAATTACCCCATACCCCCCACCCCCACACACTGGGCGCGCGGTCTCACACGCGTGCGCACACCGTTTGGTAAGGGCATAGGTGCTGTCCGGAGTGCTCAGTGGGGTTGTTTGCTGCCATGTCAGGCCTTTTGATCTGTTGTTTTGCTGATTGGTCTTTTAAAAAAAACTGTTTTAGGTTAACTTATTTTTAATGAAGCCATTATAAGAGTAAAAAAGTAGTGAAGACTTTAGAAGAAATTAAGTAGCATAGCCTGTATTTTCAAAATTTCAACTTAATTTTATTTTCGGATTTTTTTTTTTTTTAAACGTTCATTGCATAGCCAACATTGGACAGATAATTTATAATAATAAAAGTAGGCTACCACAATATTTATATTATTTTCGAATTTATAATGTCATAATATGTCCGCACAATATTTTGCGTTTGTCGAACACTGCCATTTTTTTTTTGTTTTTTTACTGCAGAGCACGTTACTAGTCATTCCACATATCATGAATAAAACGCGTAAACAAACAGGCAGCGGTGCAGAGCGATATGGAGAGGGGCCCGAGGCACAGAGCCCCCCTTTGCTCGGGCTCCTGGCGGTCCCGGTGCACCAGCTGATCAAAGCCCGAGTAAGGGGTAATATTTCTCACTTTATTACCGGAGTCACAGCGTGTCTGTACGGCCAGCGATCACACACTGCTCTGCCCACACCGGCTCAGTTAATGTATCGTAGCTATATAGCATGACAGTGCGGGGAAAAAAAATACACTAAAAAGCAAAACCACTCACTCTCTTAATAATAATGGTATTTGCTTAAAGATGACACTCTAATTTTGTTTTATTTGTGGAATTTTTGTTTAATTTTAAAACGAAAATTTAACTAACATCCACAAACGAAAAAAAGTCCTAAAATATTCAACAAATTTAGTCAAATGAATATTAATTTTAGATATATTCCAAACGAGTTGACTCTATAATACTTGCAGCTCGTTCAAGATAAAATGTTTACTTTATTTATTTATTAATTTATATATGTACATTTATTTACATATCCCATGCATCTCATCACTGAACTTTAACACTGCACTTGAGCAAAATGCTCTGATCATGACGGGAACAACAGAAACTTTGCCTTTTAACAAGTTCCATATGCATAAATCTCTTGAATATGCACTTGGCTGAGATTTAATAGGCTGCACATTTTATGTGATAATAAATTTCGGAGAATTTCTACAGTATCTATTAACCACTAACTGTTTGATTCACTCTCTTGCTTTTTAGGTTCAGCTTATTCGAAAAAGATTCCGCGCTAAGAGCATGCGTAAAGCAGCCAGTGCAGTTTGACAGGCATTGGTCTCTCAGTGGTGAGAATGTTTCGATCGATAGCTCCCTCTAGCACTGCCCCATCTCCAGACTGGCCGTTTTTTCCGTTCGGTCAGTAGTCCACCTGACAATGCCACTAATTGAAAGCTGTATTCCCATCATCATGGATGAGTCAGCATGTCTAATTATCAGTATGCTATCGAAATGGATACATTTGTAAGCATGATGTTTATTATTATTATTATTATTAATGAAACTTCCCTTGTAGGATAGACGTGATATAGCCTAAATGTTTCCGAAGTTCTACTCAAAGTGGAAAGCAGATTTTTTCATATAACCTGAATATATGGTTTTTCCAAATCCATCTCGATGAACGGGTGCAATTACTAAATACATGATGAATGAATTTAAAATTTAAGGTTATTTTAAATCATACGAATTCCAAAGAAAATTATTTTTTTAAGTTCAGTCAAATTTTTTGCAAATGATTTTTAACTGTTAACATATAATGTCGTAAAGATAATCAGTGCGAGAAAAGTATTATTATTGTTACCGTATTATTATTATGCTATTATTATTATTATTAAGCTGTAATAACAAGTTTTAGCCTCTAATAAAGTGATAATGTAGCTATTATACACTAAAATATGACCGAAATAAATAGAAATGTGACGAAAAGAATATACGAAATTGTTTAAATGTTGTTGCATAGTGAAATATTATTATAGACTATTCCGTTTATCTCTATTCCATTCTCTCTATTATTGAAGACGAAATAACCAGTGGATTGGCATGCCTTCCAAAGATTGAGAAATGTTTAAATGAGACTAGTTGAAATGAGAGAAAGGGGAGGAGTGGTGGCCGCATAGGCGACTGCAAAAGATGGAGTGTGTTCATCTTTTATCTGTTATTCGTCGTGAAACAACACATGTCATCCAAGGGTCCCACAGTCAAAGAGGAGGACTCCCTAGACGCTCATCGGCAGCTGTTTTTGTGTGTTGTGTAAGGCCTTTTGCTGCCATAGTGAACCAGCCCCACTATTCCGTTTTACATGAGAAATGGCCCATATGCACAAAGTTGCGTGGTATTGGTTCCAGATTCCAGAATGGAACGATTGCACAATATACGCGGAGAGAATGTAAATAGCTGAGATTGTGAGGTTGAGGGGCGTGATGTGTGTGTTTAAGATGGAATGGCAGAGTCTGTATATGGTGATGAATTGTGTCAGTGTCACACATGAAGGCAAAGATACCAGAGGTTCGAAATAAGATTAGGATTCGGAGCGTGTGCTTTAATGATATTGAATTATTACATACAAATATTTGCTGTGAAAATTTCAGGTAAGGTTAATTGGCATACAGCAAAAACTAAACATTTCATATTAGAAAATAATTCCAGTACAGAAAAAAAATAGCCATAATTACATATTACACACTGAGCATATTTTAATTATTATAAAACACTAAAAATAACATTCAAGGGTTTTCGAGAAAATTATTGTCCATCCATACAAGGAAACAAGCATGGAACCCATACAATCTGAAATGGTTCTGAATTCATTAGCCCTATACCTTAATTGTTATTTACAATGAAATGTAACCATTAGCTAGGCTACATAACTTGAAGAACACGGTGTATATTGCTTAAAATCAGAAGAACGGACTTAACAGATCCAACATAACACCATAAGGTGTTTGGGCCATTAGAGGCTGCTGAGGTGATCTAACATCCTGTAAAGTTTAGAGCCCTCATGTCTTTCACTTTCTCTCTTTTAACAAAGGACCAAAGGAGGATTAAGTGTCTTTTCGTTGATTGAATGTCGTTGTCAAATTGTCTTCGTAAAATTCTTTAAACGGAGTAGGCTATAAAGGATAGTTTTTAGAGCTGTGTATTTTTCTATCTTACTGTCTTGGGATATATTATGGTTATAAATTAGATTTAGTGTCAGTGAATGGGGAAATGAACAATTTTTGACATTTTCACATTAGTTCTCGCCCAAGACATAAACATGATTTTATAAAAACAAAGTATACGTTATTATTTTATGGCACACTTCATGAAGGTTTCAGGAAACATTCTGTTGTCTTAATAGTTACATATATCGGATACATAAAAATATATACATATACATCATTTCATGCTTGCGCTGTTATTCAGTACAATGAATAAAGAAAAAAAGCAATGCATATTCCAGAATAAGCATCCTTGCGCTACATTTCTTTTTAATAAATAAACAACGCAGTCACACTCAGTTAGTACACAACAGTTTTCACAGCATGACGTATCTCCAATAACTTAACGCACTGACACATCTACATAGGCTATACATAAACAATGCGTAAATTATCAGATATGTACCTTATCAAATGCTTCTCTTGTCCCTCGGCTCCATGCACCAGAATAGACGATTATTGGAAAATGACGAGAACAAGTAAAAAAGACTTTCAAATAGCAAGGTCTGTTTTCTGACTCCTCACATTAACTAAGATATGACAGTTTCTGGGATTTTTGACAATTGGTGTCTTCTGTTCCCTATAAATAGCGCAGAGTGTGCCGGTAAAGCGGTGAGGGGATAGCTAATGGTTACTTGAACGGCAAGCCGCTGATTGGCCTCGGCCCGGAGTGACGTCAGGAGGCTGTGAATAAGGCTGGCTCGTGTGCTTTCAGGAACATGCAGAACACCGGAGGCTGTTCGGGGATCGTCATCAGTCCTGCAACGAGATGTCACGCGCATTCTGTTCACACTAGCATCTTTCTTTCACCTCTTCTGTCTTACCGAGGAAAACAGCACGTTACAGAGGGACACGCACTTTTCAAACGCGTTTGGTCATTGCATCTTTCAGAGGGACGTATACAGTGGATACGTGGACATGGTAAAGTGCACTCCAGTGTCTCTGGGCTCGCGTGTCTCCTGTGTTGAAGACCGGTTGCGTTAGATGCTCGCTTATGAAAGACTTGAATGAACATCATCACCAATGCTTCACCTTGTTGACAACGGCGACTTGCTTTTTCCGCAATGATGTCCATGTCTTTGTAGCCAACGAACAGTTGGTGTTTTGAAAGATTTCTCTATGCTGGCTTCATTTGTGCATCTCAGAATTTGGGAAGGAAGAGGATGAGAAATAATGACTGACAACTGAAGCACTACCTCATGAGAAGATCCTCTTTTATCATCTTGATTTTGGACCGCTACAGGTCCATCCGCATACACAAAAGTGGTGAATATATTTAAAACTTCTTGATCTTTTCCTTTCAAACCTGTTCGCCAAGACTGATTTGGAGCATCCTTCAGCGTTACACCCCTTTCCCTCCTCTCTTTTGAAAGGGGAAAACAGGAGCAGCAGACCCTCAGGTTGTGGACACCACGGCAGTAACTGTGGGAGCACATCCAAAGACGATGGTCCACTGTGCGGGCTGCGAGAGGCCTATATTAGACAGGTTTCTCCTTAATGTTCTGGACAGAGCATGGCACATCAAGTGTGTACAATGCTGCGAGTGCAAATGTAACCTAACAGAGAAATGCTTCTCTCGAGAAGGAAAACTCTATTGCAAAAACGACTTCTTTAGGTAAGTTCCTTGTGTGAGTTCGACCTCAAGATTTTTTTTTCTGCTGTGGATCTATGTCTGTGATACATGGGAATATAATAGTTTATTTAATACGACGAGCTTCAGGGACACTGGTATAATTGTCTACAAGAACAACAGAAAAAGTTGGTCATATTTTTAACTCCAATATACAGATATAAACGGTTGCTTTGCAGCTATATGGTTAAATCATTTTATTATTTATTTATTTGAAAATTTTGTGGGTTATACATAAATTAAACCAAAAGACAACCAAATATATATCATTTTAAAATGGCACAGTTCAGTTTTAAAAGAGGTTTCACACATTTGGGAAGTAGCTTTTTCCTCAGTCACTCAAACATTTACAGTGCTACTTAAATTTGATGAAAATTGATCTGTAATAAACTTAAATTCAAAATGCTGTTAAAGCTATACATAGTGCATATATATATATACAATTTTGCATGATTTCATTAGAATTAGGACTTACATTCACACTAACATGAAGTGTGACCCTAAGTACTGTCAACAAGCCCGACTTGTTTGATTCTTTGATTAGGACGTCCATTAATTAAATGCTTGTTAATTTGAATTGTTATGCAAAATGGCGAGCAAGTACACTAATAGTCTGTGTACTCGTCCGCAGCAAGGGTTTTAAGGAAATCACACTTTGTTTACAACGAATGGCAGCCAGGGAAGCCGCAGGGATCAATGCTTTGCCAGGGTAGTTGAAAGTGTAACGCGGCCCAGTGGCCCCGCGTGTGGCTGCAGTGCTTCGAGTTAAGATGTGATAAGTGGATTTGAATAATAAACGACTTTGAGATGGAAACCCTCAGACAATGTAATCACAGACTCAGAATCAACAATCTGTACAGAGAACCACAATACACATTATTGGTCACAATGAAGTGGTGAGTATTTACTGCAATGGTGATTGTTTTGGAAGAATGTACATTTGTTACGGGTGATTATTAATTATGCTTTAATGCACATTAAAACACATGCAACATAAATCTAAATTCAAAGTATTTTTTTAGGTGTGGGCTACTAATACATAGGCCTATCTAAATATTATTTTTATTTTTTTGCGTTAACATTGCATAAACAATAACAACTGAACAAATAATTATTGTGAAATGTATATTATTCCCAAAATAAGAGTGATGATAATATAAAACATTTACGAACAAATATATATGCTATTACATCTCCCTGCTCTGGGCATAGACTATTATAACATATCCTTTTTATATTTATCTGCTATTTTACCGTGGTATAGTGACCATTTTTTTCTCGGTCTGTCCATTTGCAGGCGCTTTGGAACGAAATGCGCAGGTTGTGCTCAGGGGATCTCGCCGAATGACTTGGTCCGGAGGGCACGGAGCAAAGTCTTTCATCTGAACTGCTTCACATGCATGATGTGTAACAAGCAGCTATCAACGGGGGAGGAATTGTATATCATAGACGAAAATAAATTTGTCTGTAAAGAAGATTATTTAAGCAGCTCGAACGGAAAAGACGCCAATCTCCTTTCAGGTGAGTAAAATTAATTAGGGGAAATGATAACTGGGAATATAGCCTATATATATATATAGCCTATATATATATATATATATAGCCAATATATATGCCTATATATATATATATATATATATATATATATCACTGTACGCGTCCGTAGTTTTTTGTCCCATATTATTTCGCTATATCAAGAATACTGAACATTTAGATTAAAGATTAATATCTTTTGATGAAAACATGAAATTTTTTAGCAAATACAGACTGAACTCTCTTGAAGTCCGTTCAATATGTCTCACAAAAACCAATTATTGTATTTTTCTATATTCTTAAATAATAAAATAAGTCTTCAGACGGTGTCATGCATAGCAAATTTTGAAAAGCATCACATTTTTTTTTCTTCCAATTTCAATGTGAAATTAAGTACAGATTTTGCTGCATTAATTTTGTGGCCTATTGCAGATTAACAGCTGGCCAGTTTATTTTCTAATAATCTTTTACAGTAAACTAGTGCATTGTGACAGTTCTGTCAGCTCTAAATACCAGTGTTTCTTTGTTCTTTCTTTGTTTATTCACGTCTTCTTTTGTTTTATTGAATTTTGCGTTTCTTTCATTTTTTCATGTGGGTTTATTTATTTATTTTACATTCCATTGTTTAGTGTATAACACTTCTCTGGTCCCCATGTCTAATTCTGAGGTTTTTATTTCGACTCCTTGTCTCCGACGTCCCTTTCCACATTCAGTTACAGCTTGCAGTGACCCTAGTTTATCGCCAGATTCGCAAGACCAGCTACAGGACGATGTCAAGGATGCGGAAAGCGCAAACTTATCGGACAAAGAAACGGGTAACAATGAAAATGATGACCAGAACCTCGGAGGCAAACGGAGAGGACCGCGTACCACGATTAAAGCAAAGCAGTTGGAGACACTGAAAGCGGCATTCGCGGCGACCCCCAAACCAACCAGACACATCAGGGAGCAACTGGCGCAGGAGACGGGGCTCAACATGCGAGTTATTCAGGTAAACTTAAACACCATTACATAGGCTACATTAAAAAAAACTGTGTTTATTGGTAGCATATAATTGCTACGCTTGCTGCTAGTAATTTTGACGACAAACACGATCAGATAGGCCTACAAATACTGTTTCTTGACGAGAATTTATAGTGTGTGATTCTTAGGCATCTTGTGGTAGGCTACAAATGTCTCTTCCTGGATGAAATAGAGAAAAGCACATGCGAGCCTTCACTGTGCCTCCTTTCCAATCCTTGAGGCAAGACCATTTGAATTGAAATGAGGACACTTTTTGCTGGCATCTGTAAATATTTGGAAGTAACATTTATATGGTTAGCCTTTTTATACTTGACTCGAGAGATGGAGAGGCACGCCAGCTGGCATCAGACTGGTGAGAACGATGGGAGTCTTGGCAATGCAGCGCCATCACGTTTTGCGACCACATTTAGACATGCTGTGACGGTTCTCAGTCAAGTGGAAACGCAGAAATCTGTCCCTGTGTCTGTCAAAGTACCTCATACTAGGTGGTGTTCTGTGAGAAATTGAGAATCGATCTTTGCTTTTTCTGTCGAGTGAACGGGCGGAACAATGAGAGTCCAGCCAAGGCGCGCAGTACATTGGCGAATGTGCGCCCTCATTTACGCACGCTATATGGACTTTGTCAGCATCGTTTTAAAGATCCTCATCTTGGTCATTTTGTTCAGCGTGAGAGATCCGATAAGAACACAGATAAAGCATCATCGTCGTTAAAAGCCCCGTAATAGATTGGTGCTGCAGGGATAATGCCTTAAAATGAGACTGAACATAAGATCAAGTGGAGGGAAGGGGTTGAGATTAATAGAGTGACGAGGTTGGATATTTAAGACCGTCAGAGTAAACTATAATTAGCAAAAGGAATTCAAGGGTGGATATATAGATTGCGAAATAATAACTGCATAGAGCCGGTTAATATATCGGTAACCACCCTCCTATTAAGTATTAATTAGAGATTTGAAGTCCCCGCTGCTGCCCCCTCAGTCGAAGTAAATGGAGGGTTAAAAGATCATTAAAGTGAGGTTAGATCCGACTCTCTAACAGTGACGATAATTACGAGTAATCTTGTCACTACAATACGAATGTATTCCGTCACTTCACAGGCCTACCTCAGTAGACTGTGAAAACGCTGCTCTGACCCAATAAAAATAGTAAACGTGACATGTAAACATTAGGCCATAGTGCCAGACTGTTAGGTTTGCACATCTAGTAGGGTCTCTTATTTTAGTTTGCATGGCACTACAAATAAAATAGGCTACAAAAGTTTAAAAATGCTTTAAAGGTTTAAGTCAAACCGGTGCCAAAGGGACAGCCTAGGCCACTTAGAATAAGCCTATTTCACTAATAAATAAAATCGAATTGACCCTCTGAAAAATCGTAAAATCAACAAAAACAAATATGTTGGTATAATGCTGACCGCATTTAAACAGTGCAGTCACATACATTTACGCAAATATGTTAATATGGTTAGCATGTAATGTTTTTATTTTGGTAGTTGATAATATGATATTTGATTTTTGTTCATAGTTTATGTTTGCCCATGTTGCTGTGTACTATAACTAGGCGTGCTACTGAACGTAATGAACTACCATACTACTTCTGCAATTATTTCATCCACATACAATGCACACTGTTGGTTTTTACCTCTGAAATTAATTATTGTAACCGATTTTAGCGCACAATTTTAAAAAGATGTCCAATGCTTTTTTTGCCCATGTTCTCTAGGTATGGTTTCAGAACCGGCGGTCTAAAGAGCGGCGCATGAAACAGCTGAGCGCGCTCGGCGCGAGGAGACACGCGTTCTTCCGGAGTCCGAGAAGAATGCGAACGCTCGTGGACAGACTCGAGCCTGGAGAATTAATTCCAAACGGCCCGTTTTCATACTATGGAGGTAGGATATAATGCCTTATTATAGATTTATCAATATCAAACCTTTGTCTGAAATATGTAGGCTATTTCTGTCTCGCGTTGGTTTCATTTGTTTCGCCTCATCAGAAGCGACATATTTTATATCTGTTAGTTTGTGTTTTAAATTTAAATGGGACAGTTTTTTTAGTTTTGTAATTTGACTGGGCTTCCTGAACATATAGCTACTGTCTAATTTTTCCTGTTGTCCATCTGTTTAAAATGCTTTGATATTGTGGAAACAGTTGTTTGATATTTGTTGTGTTGCTCTTTTAAGAACTTTTTAATGCTTTTTACTTTACTTTTAATCCACAATAGCGTGTATGTTCCATGTGTCGATTTTATTCAGTGTAGTTTATTTTTATTTCACTTTTTATTTGACCCAAGTGTGTTGGGTGTATATATATATATAGCCTATATATATATATATATATATATATATATATATATATATATATATATATAAGAAAAGTTCTGTTACACAAATCTGTGGTCTTTTCACTATCAGTGGTTTTGAATGTTGATTTAAAAAAGGTTTTTTAAACCCACTTACATTAGGATAAAAGGATGTGTATTTTTTGTTATTCCTACTAAAATCCTAATATATTTCTGCTGTAGCTGTTGGGTAAACAAATTGAATCTAAATGTATGACTGTCAGTTTCTTTAAAGGCACATACTCGATGACAATTTCCCTGAGATACATGAACTGAAGTAGAAACTGTGATAACTAGCCCCAGTTTCCCCCTATATATTTGAAAATAATTTAATAGGTTCTCCTCCATATGCATAAAACAAAGCAGTTATTGTTATATATACTCTATCATATCAATAACAGCTTGTTTCATAAGTTTTCAGCTGTTCAGAAAGGCGAAGCCTTCCTCGCTGTAATTAGCAAAGCTTTGTTCTCCCCACCCAGCTACATTTGTGATTTCAGTGTAACATGTTCTGTGACTAATGTGGCGTATTGAGATTTATTCCAAAGAACGACACACTACATACTCTCAGAATTTTTAAACAAGGAGTTTCCGCCTGCTCTTTGTTTCCAAATCTAAACCGAAATTCTTTTATCCTTCGTGTATCTACAGATTATCAGAGCGAGTACTACGGCCCGGGAGGGAATTACGACTTCTTTCCCCAAGGCCCTCCATCTTCACAGGCCCAGACTCCAGTAGACCTCCCCTTCGTTCCTTCGTCAGGACCCACCGGTACCCCGCTAGGGGGCATGGACCATCCTATCCCCGGCCACCATCCGTCCAGTGAAGTACAGCGCTTTTCAGATATCATGTCTCACCACCCAGGGGACTCGCCCAGTCCAGAGCCAGGGATACCTGGGCCCCTGCACAGTATGTCCTCAGATGTTTTTGGACCTAGTCCGTCCTTTACATCCCTCTCCCTCAACGGCACCGGATACAGCAACCACCTCTCCCACCCTCCATCAGAAATGAACGAGGGCACGGTCTGGTAGCTCCTGTGAACGGACATTTCAGCAGAGAGAAATTATGATAAACAGAGGAGGGAGGGAGGGAACAGGGACACTGGCCGCACATTCTGGTTATCATTTTTGTCCTTTCCCCCCTTTTTTCCATGTCATAAATGTGGTGGGACAGCTCACAGAGAGAGCAGCAGAGGGCAGCATGGGCATTGACATTTATCTTCTTGAACTCATTGTGTTGATGTTCCGTTTCCTTCTTTCTTTCTTTATCCCAAGTCCGAACTCAAGAAGAGAAAGAATTTATACTGTTGACCAGGTCGCTGTATGAACTCCCAGCACAGCAGAGTCCCTCCAGAAGCTCAATACGTATCACCGGTTAAATCGCCGCTCTAAAACAGCGATAGCGACACATTAACAGCGTCAGCTACCGTCAAAGACTTGTCAGCTTTACAGAGAAACACCCAAGGCGGCTGATCTAACGCTAACCTGCAATGTTGACTCCAGGAAAGATCTAAGCCGTCAGACTAATTTATTTATTTGAAAACTCCTCAGACCTCCTTGCCTTTCAAGGCTCTGCCATACTGACACTTAAACAACCTTTTCGACACTAAATATGTTTCTGAAGGCCAGGGAGAAAAAGCTTTTTTTTCTCTCTTTCTGGGCATATCCTGTTTTTGTTCCCCAAGAATTCCACCAAATCTGAAGAAGTTAGCCTTCAAAAGGCAAAATGTTGAAATGTGTACGGATGGTGAACCCTTTATTTAATGGAAGAGAACTTGAAATGTTGATAAATGAAGTCTACCTTCTAAAATTATTTTAACAAGGGTCTGAAAGGGACATAGAACAGTCAACTGTTTACGTAATATATTTAATTCAGGAGTTAAAAGTATCAACCATGATTTAGAACCTCTTGATCCAGAAAAAAATGTTCCAAGCAACCAACCAAACTTTTGTATTGATTTTATTTATATTGTATGATGGAAGTTTGCTGGGGTTGTGGTTCACTGTGCTAGTTTGTACAAAATGTTGTTTACAAAAACAAAAAAAACAAAAAAAATGGAAAAAAAAAACAAGTAGACAGTTGCCAAATAAAAACATAGCACAAATACTGTAAAAGTGCTTTGCACCATTATCTGCAGAACGTGTTGAAACAAAGTGTAAGTGTTTAAAAAACAATAAGAAGTATTGACTTCTTAATTTTTTTAGTCTGCTGAAAAAACATTCATAAATTGTTAATATAACATACTTAGACCTACAAGTTTTATTTTTGTGTCTTTAAAGGAAAATCCAAACTATTGAAATTGATGGTCAAATGTGCAGCAAGCAGCTGCTACTTTCTTTAAATATCAAATTCTCATGGTATGTCTTTTATTGTTCTAATAAACCTAAGCTTACGTGACCTCCAGTGCATATTAGACCATTCACTGTATAAATACGACATGTTGACAAATTTGTGAGTTTTTAATAAAATTAGAAAATATGAAATTCGGATGATAGGTGCTTTTCCTTGGACTAGCTGAGATTATAACCATCTAAATACAGGCGCTTTCTGAGAAATATGGCTTCCGAAGAATATTCCCCAACTGTAATCTCTCAGGATGAACATGACATGGTGGAGGACATCACATAACCCTCACAAGGCTGTCTTGACTGCAATATGTACAAAAAATCCTCGTGTAAAGATGTCCTTTCATGATACGGCATTTCACAATACTATAACAAAGCATCATTTACTCAGCGATCAAATCAGCTAAATCAAATGTTTTAAAATGATGTCCTATGATTATGGGTGTTCTCACCTTTTCACTTTGAGATATACTGTAAATGGAAAGTCAAAACTGTGTTGTTTTGGGAAAAATAACATTTCTAGTTTTTATGGCACTTAATTCACACTTTGACCAGATTTTTATGTTATACTACTGAATTTTTGATACAATATTTTGTATATCTTCATCATAAATTCACCATCTCTTTCCTTTTCATCTTGGCTGTGCAAGAAAAACTGACAAGTTCCTATATTTTAAACATATTCAGTATCTATAAGGGGCCAGATGACAAAGAATCATAACTTTTCAAGAACAGTCCTTTCACAGCGCATTAGAAGCATTGTGGAAATCTTAAAAGATGACATAGACGTTGCAACACCTTGGCATCCGAGACAATAGATATATGGAGAAACAAGTTCAGAAGAGACAACCTCATCACTGAACTGATCTCATTTCATATCATATCTCAGTTCATAACAAAAGAGTCAGATGAGATTCAGTTGATTTGACTCTCTGTGGGGAGCGTATGTGGGAGGAATCCTTCACAGGTACGGAGGCCAGGAAGACGGCATCAAATTGAGCTTGCTATCTGGGGGAAAAGCCTTTATCTCATTGCAGTGTGTGGTTTTAGTGTGAAGGAGCCCAGCGGTGCCCCTGCTGCACCCAGCACATAATCCACTATGAATTAATCATGGTCCTGAGAGTTAAACAGGCCTGCGGGCCCTCCTGAGCCCGGGGCTTAACCACACCGCTGACTCCATGCTCTGTCACCCGGGAGGCCAAAGCTCTTTAAATTCAAATCTCATATTGATTGAACATCGACTATTGGTTCGGCCTGACCTTGTCGACACATTAAATATAAATGTTTGAAAGGCGTTTTTAAATGCCGTTTTTTTTTTTTTTAATCTAGAGAGCAATGATTTGAATACAGACATACATCGTAATGTCAAAGTTTTGATGTGGTGGTCGGTTGGAAGTGATGGGGATTATGTAACTTAATACACACAGGATGTGTATTCCATGCATAGTTTATTAACTGAGGGATTTCTCTCTCTGTTGTTGTTATTGATTCCAAAGCTTATCAAGACTTGACAACTGCATTTTAAATATGTCTTGTAAAAAGGAGAGATGTTTAAAACACAAAACATCTATTTCAATCATTCAGCTCTCTAATGTGCATACCACGAATCCAATGACATACAATGGACATGTTAGCTGTTTTTCATTCTGGCAAAGACATCTGAAGAAAAAACTGAATCATGTGTGAACATCCATTTATAGCAAGCATTTATTTCCCCAACATAGGCTCATTGGAAAAGCGAATTGTATGTACCTATACATATAATTCACTGCCGTTTCCATCTTATAGCACTAGTAAAGCGCCAACAATTTCTTAAATTTCTTTTCACACAGATTACATTCGATTGATTTCTCAGTACAGTGAATCGGTTCAAGAGACTAAAGGTATGTTTGGGGGTTTCTTTCGTTGAGTCCACTTTTAGATACAGTATATTGATTGATTTAATGATTCTGCTTTGTATCAGAAAGATAGATGTTACAGATGACAGGATATAGGAAATATGTAGCATGTCAAGAATTCAAATACTAGATTTCCAAATCTGGTCATGCAGTTTAAGAATTTATGTTTAAGTAATAATGAATAGTGAATATTTAAAATGCTATATGGACTTATGAGTTTGCTAGAGTAATACAAAGAAATTAGAATTGATGCAGATGTTGTTATTCTACAATCAAACAAACAATGACATAGTGTGTAAACCGTTTCATTTAAAGTGTTTATTATTGCTTATCAGACAAAAACAAGACAGAATTTTAAAGATAGTCATCAAAATGCAGAATAAATCAGACATCTTTTTGCCCTTTTGCGATATGATTTTTCCATATCAAATGAGTGAGGAAAGATAAACACTAATGAGATTACAAAGATTTTATAATTTGAGTGTGTCGTAGTGTGGCAAATCATATTTGTAAGGCTATACTACGCTGGTCCTGTTAAGTTATACTGCACACATAATTAATTATATTTTCTATTTAACCCTAAATCTATTTTCATGTGGAAAGTTTGTTCATTGAATAAAGCAATGTCAGTTTTACAGCGGGATTGGTCAGGCCTCACAATCAAGATCTCATTAAATCTAGCAATAAATCAAGTTTCAAAATAAACATGTTTATTTCAGTGACAACCCATTGGGTCTATAATATTACAAACTTAAATCCTGATGATATGGAGAGACAAAATCAGTAAACCTTACTCAATAATGACTAAGTCGCTGCTTGATTGTTAAGCAAAAGATTTCTCTATTTTTTTTTTAAACATTTTGAACTGTATTTGCATTTGTATTTGAGTTCTATTCTCGATAATGAGAAATTGCTCAGCTAATTGTTGATCAGCTCATTAATAGTTCGCTAAATGTTAATGATTACTTATTTGATGGCTGATCATAATAATACCAAATTCCAGATATATGCTCTAGTGCTGCATATCTAAATTTCTATAAGCAGAATTAGTCAGATGTATGCAAAAAGTTCTTGAGAGGGTCTTAGAAATGGGCAGAAGTCACCCAAAACAAATGTGGCCTTTTCTCTGGAAAACCACCAGCATGAATATTGTTTCACATTTTTAAACATTCATTCCAATTAAAGCGGCCTTGTGCGAGTGCAGCCATGCGGCGCTGTTATTCAATTCCATCAAAATGAATGAACCAGTGGCATGCAACCATGCAGTTAACAGGAATTAAAACTACAGGCAAGATGACAGATTACAGAGGAAATTGAGTGGTGTACGCCGAATGTGCGTGGCTTTGTTGTTGTATTTTACCTGTGTATGGTAGGAAATGTGCATGCATGCATATCAACATCCGCTCAGATCCATACAGTCCAGTTGCACCTCATATAGACAAATGGCATCTTACGTCTGGTAATATATGTGTGAAGGTGCATTTAGAACGAGTAAAACATTAATGTGTAAAATCACTTGATATTGTACAATGCTGAATATTTCGATGAATGTCCACGCAGTGCAGACTAAAAAGCCATCCACACGTTTCACCTCGGCTCTGACTGAACGTCCCGTAGACTGAGTAGTAGCCATGCAATTAATTAAAAACAAAAGCTGGAAACAATTAATCAGCTTGGAATCCCCTCCTCTTTATAGACCTTATTATGAGGATGACTGGATAAGAGAGATCTATGAAATGTAATTTATGAAAACTGAGGCTGCAGAAGGTTTACTCAAACGATCCCTGTCTTTTCTTCTTCTTTTTTTCTGCAGAGCTATACTAACAAGGAAAACTCCCAAAGCAATGGGAGAAAAAGATTCGACAGCCATTGCTATGCTATTCATGCCTCGAGCTCTTCTGTCCGCGTGTGCTACCCAAGGTCACCACACAATGGCACTGTCCACACCTCTGTTCAGAGAACAATACACTGCTCGAAAACATAAAGAACATTTTAAAATCTCAGCAACTGAATCTAGGAAAGATTGACTAAAACTGAGGCAGTTTTCTACGGCATGTGTGGTAATCATCACCTTTAATTTGCAGGGAAATCGTGTTGTTTTGAATACCCGTGTTTGTTTATTTCAATTACAGGCATTAGGCGAGAGATGGGCCACTCCAGCCTGTCATCATATAGACTCATGTGCCGTTATTTGTGCTCTGATTAGCTCCAAGTGGCCGAGGAGAGCTCTGTGAGAAGCACTTGGATGCTTCTATTGGTCTGTAGGGGAACAACATGTTCTTGATTTGTGTTTCAAGCAGGGGAAAGGGCTGCGTTTAAAAGGATAATGTCAGGCAGGCTTTCATTTTACTGCCTTTTCACCTCTGTGTCACAAACAAACACGCTTTTCTGTCTGCATGATGTGGTGCCATCACACAGCCATTCAGTTCACACGAGAGCAACTGTTTAAATGCTTCTTCTGTTGCATTATTGTCCTCAGTCAGGCATTCTTCATGTCTTTACTTCGTCAATATGGCAACTAGAGGAAAAATGAAACGTCAGGCAAAGCAAATGGTGAGCTCAGAGACCACAGCGAAGACTGATACAAACATATCTGACAAACACATTTGAACTGTAACTATGTTCTGTGAGATAACAGTAATGGGCTTTCATGGCAATGAGTGTGCGGACTGTAATTTATAATTGTCTAATGATATTTATACAAGATGCTTTTGGTGTGGAGCAACAAAACGCTTTATTTTACACTGAACAAAGCATTAATCAAAGTGCAGCTGAGAATCAACGGTTTGTCATCAACCTTGTTGTAGAAAGGTGCATATTCATTTTTGTGAAAGAAATTAATACTTCAATACAGCAAGGATGCATTCAATTGATCAAAAGTGACAGTAAAGGCATGCAACAAAATATTTTTATTTCAAATAAATGCTGTTCTGTTGAACTTTCTATTCATCAAAATAAAACGTATCATGGTTTCCACAGAAATATTAAGAAGCTCAACTGTTTTCAACATTGATAATAATAAGAAATGTTTCTTGAGAACAGAATCGGCATATTAGACTGATTTCTGAAGGATCATGTGACACAGAAGACTGAAGTAGTTTGCCATCACAGGAATAAATTACATTTTAAAATAGAAAATAGTTGTTTTATATTG